ACAATGTAATTAATGCAATTAACAAATGAGCTAATATTCGCACAGTGTAGACACACACACACACAGGCACGCACGCCTAATGAAACGTAACTTTTTCATTAAAGTTTCGCTTTCATTTATTAGACTTAGGTCTGGACCCCGACGCCCCCTTTCGCCACTGGTCCAACGCCACCCCTTGCCGATCTGGGCCCTTATCTTTTGTGGCTTTGCAGGGTTCGTTAACAGTTGTTAGTTAGTTGCGTTAAGTTTGCCATCCACGTTCACCGATTGGAAAGTTCTTTCTGCTTTTCCGGCACCAACTGAACCATCCCGTCCACGTAAGGCTTCCGACGACCCCCAGAATTGAACTGAGGGACTGGCTAAGCGACCAATATTCCATTTGCTGCTGCTGCTGTTGCCGTTGCTGCTGCTGCTGCTGTGTTTCTTTCGCCGCTGCTGCTGCTACCGCTGCCGCTGCCGCTGCTGCTGCTGCTGCTGCTGCTGCCTTCCGCCTGTCGACTGTCTGTGGTTTTCTGTGCGCCTGCTACTATGCGCCGAGTTAATTGGTTTGCAAACAAATTAACCAACGTGGGTGTGTACGTTTCCTAATTAGCAGCTTTTGTAATTAAATATGCCCGCAGCCATTCAGACCGAACTGTTAGGAGATGGGGTGGTTGGAGGGGGCGGTTTTGGCCTATAACTATGCGTATGTGTGGGCACAATGGTATAACGGTTCATGAGACGCACAGTGGCGCCTCGAAAGGGGCTAATAAAGGCGAATAATGCAATAGCCCCCTTTTCAGCACGCCCCTGTCCGAGTGGCAGGAAGGGGAAGCAGCCGGAATGGGCGCTTTCGGGGGATGTTCGGGGGCTGACAACGCTCTGACGTCCCAAATGAAAATGCATTTTAATTAGGGGTTTTTGTTGGGTTTTTGTTTCGAGTTGTTGTTGCCGCTGCTCGACTGCTTGTGGTTTCATTCATTAGTTGAATGGAGCCAGAGCAGCTCGATAGGGTTGTCGAGCATGCGAAAAGGGATTTCCAAGACAGCCAATTAAAGCTCGTTTTATTATAATATATATAAAAATATTTTTTTTGTCACTAAGGATACACTTTTGGGAACAAGGTAGGTACCCTGAAAGTATTATATGTTTTATTTTTTTTATTTGGTCACATCTAATCATATATTTGGGGATATTTGATAGTTTCTTGTCTTTGTTTTTTATATAAATTTTATTTTTTTTAATTTTTATTATAGCTAACCTAACATACATTTTTTTTAACATTTCAAATTATAAAAAAATGTTGTATGGTAGATTCTTTAATAGGAAATATAATTTTTGAGAAGAAAACTAAATTCGCTTTTAGATAACTTTTTATTTACGCTTTATGAAAATTAAATGCTTGCAAAAATATTTTTAAGCAAGAAAAAATAAAATTTTTTTATCCATTTTTAGACTGGAACAAAAGCAAAATTATTGTATATCAATAATTTAATTTAAAAATATTTAATATTATTTCCAATTTCAAGATGATAATTTGTATTTCCTCAAACGAAGGCTCGACAACCCTGACGACGATAAGCAATCCAAATGGGACATTGAAAAAAGGGGAAAAAAAACCGAGCCTGGTCAGTGAGCGAGGAGGTGGGCCTGCAGAGCGAGGAAGGGGACTTTTGGGGGGTTTTTTTGGGGGGTTAGTGTTTTTTTGGGTCTTTAATTGGATGCATATAGCGCCCACAAGTTTTGCGCTATTCATTATAAACGGTGTTGTTGTAGTTGCTGTCGTTGTTGTTCAATTGAATCGGAGCCGGAGCCGGGAAGCACGGCAGCAGGAGAAAAAAAAGGGTCCAATTAAAAAGCCACAACAATTAACGAGCCAAGTGAGTTAACTTGGCATAAGTGGAATTTTAATTGGCAACACGAGAGCGAGATGGCCAACAAGGCAGGAGCCGAGTGACTTGCCGAGTGCCGATAAGTGTCGAGGCAATGGGAGTGGATGTGGCAGTGGTAGTGGGAGTGGGAGCGGGAGTGAGATGGCAGAGGGCGAGCGAAAGAGAAGGCAAGCTCGTTATGGGTCTCCACAGTCCCGGAGTAGTTAAGTAAATGAGCATTTTGTTCCACTAATGAACACTAATGAATATGCCAGAGACAGCACTTGGATTAAGCCCGAATGGCAGACTGAGTGTGTGCAAGTGTGTGCGAGTGTGTGTGTGTGTGTGTGTGTGTGTGTGAGTGTGTGTGTGGGTACGGGGCCTTTTGTTGGTTCGGGGTTTTGTGTTGTTAATTAATAAACACGAAGCCCGGGGGACCATAGTGTATGTGTGTGTCTGGGTGTGCGCCCAGTTTTCAAGGGGTTAAAATAAGCAATTAGTTGGATTTTCGACTAGGCGCTCAGCAAATGTGCAGACGTCGAGGCCACAAACAGAGGAGGCCATTCTGCTCTTCCATGCCAGCCGAAATGAGAAAGTTTCAAACTGTTGCCGCCGCTGCCGCTGCTGCTGCTGCTGCTGCTGCTGCTGCTGCTGCTTCTTCTAACGAGGCAGCGGCACAGGAGTTGGCCAGCCCGCAGAAAATGTTGGCAGATGGCGGAGGGACCTGAATGGAGGTGGAGGTGGAGGTGTAGTGGCAGTGGGGACTCCGGCGGGGGAGTCCAAGTCCAGCCCGCAGGTAAGCCAGCCACGCATCCGACTGAAGTGAGCAGGAGGCGATAGAGGTGCAGCCGCTACAGAGAGAATAAAAGAGGAGAAAGCAAATATTTTTGAAGAAAATAATTTAAGGGATACATCTGAAACTATAAGCTTATCCCTTCAACTTAATTAAACAATACTTTTAAACAGGATTTACATGCTATCTAAAGAAAAAGATGGGTGACTACGATCTTTTTATTGAAACCAGCGAAGATAGAAAAGTGGCATACATATTTTTGTTGACTCTTTAGTAAACATCATTAATATTTGAGCTTTCGCTTTGTTTTGGCTTTTTAAATAAATTGAAGTAAACAGCATTTTTATTTCGAGTTAAGATCATCTGTAGGTAATGGTTTAATGGTCTTGATTCCTTTTTTTTTACCAAAGTCAAATTTAAATGTTTTAAGGAATATTTAATTTATGCAAAAGCATAAATACTTCGGATGTATTCGTGCACAATATACTTGTTTAATTTAAGAAACTCAAATCCTAACCGTTCAACTTTCAATTTTTAAATTTGTATAATACTATTAATTATAGATCACTAAATTACTTAGACTTTCAAAACTGCAAGAAATTGATTTTGCCCTTAAAAAAAACCGCCTAAAAATTTATATTTTTAGAAGAAAATTTAGATATAACTCTAACTAACTCTCTTGTTAATATAAACACAAATGAAAAAACTAAATTAGCGTTTTTCATTGAAACATCAATAACTTAAATTTAATTTTTTTAGTGTAAGGTTTCTCTACGAACTTTTTTACCTATTGTTTGGATCTTAAACCAAATTTAGTCTACAATATATTGAAATATATTTGTCATTGCATACTTTTAGACGATTTAAATATTCATTTAGATTGGGTATTTTAAATTATGTAGGATAAGTAAGTTTCTCATTCAGTAGGCTTTCTCGCTGTGTAACTCTTCTATGCCGGAACAACATCCACCGTTTGTCTGCGCAGAGCTTAATTGGGAAACGCTGATGGGACTAGCAATTAGCATGGACACGAACCCATGCAAAAAATGAATAATGGCCCAAAGCCAGTCATATCTGCGCTTAGCTATGTAAGGTAGGGTCAGGGACCCTTTCTATGTAAGAAAGTCAGTGCTAATAAAGCATTTTAAAATCAAGTAATCAAGACCAATCTAAGCTATAGAAACCTTTCTTCTGTCTTATCTGATCATTTCCTGTATTTGGAAAGTAAATAAATCACCTTTAAAGGCTCATAATAACAAAATGCAAATAAATAAAATGCTAATGAGTGATGCCTTTTAAGGCCACGAACTACTCGCCTTATAAACGGGCAAAAATATCTCAATTATTTTGAACAATTTATCTACAGAAATAGATCGGCAAGCTTCCAAAAATAAATAAGTTATAATAATGCGGCACCGATTTGCACACATTCTAATTGTCGACCACCTCCAGAACACGTCTTATTTGCTGCCGGGTCGAATGAATCACAACAATCTGTTGGCAATCAAGATATACCCTCGTATTTTTACATAAGACACCTATGACAGCTAGGCCACCACCATAACTCTCCGACGCGGCTGGAGCTGCGCTCTGCCATTGAGCTGCCAGACGCGATGACTTTATATGGCCAAGCGCCAAGCGACGCGCCATTGTCTGCCACCGATCGAAAGTGTGAACCTGTGGAGGAGGCGACCTAAAGGTGCACTGAAAAAAATTTTACCTGAAATTAATAATTTGAATATTAAAAAAGAAAAAAAGTTTCAATAGAACTCAAAGTATCCAGAGAGATTGTTCACTATTAGAGCAAATACCATTATTTATAAATATACTTTGGATTTGGGATTTTTAATATTATAGTGATAATTAACATAGAAAACTTTTTGATTTATTTTTTTTTGTATACATTTTTTCCATGTCATTATAGTTCCTATATCTTAAACTTTAAGAATTGATATTTAAGTTCTAAAAACAAAAAACTCCTAACATTTTTAAACTAACTAATCTTTGGAAATTTTTGCCACACATTGCCAAAAAAAAAGTGAAATTAATCGATCTTAGAAAAATTATTTTTCATACCTGATCAGTAATACGATGTGCTCAAAAAACAGCCATTCATGGCAAACCCACTTGCTATTTCTTTAGTAGTTTTAGCTGATGATCTTTTCTCAGTGCCTGAACCCGTTTGAAGCTGTCGGAAGAAACCGCTTTAAGACTCGCGCCCCTGACGTCAGCGATTCAAATATACTCGCAAACAAATCGCGGGGGTTGACTCGACTCTCTGCGGATAATAACAATCATTTACATGACAAGTTTTGCTCTAAAGCGAGGTGAAATCATATTTTAGAATACGACCAGCTCGACAGCTTCTCAATCGTGTTTGCGAACGCGAAGTGAATAGTTCAATATTGCCGGAAGAACATAAGAAAAGCAGAGATGCCGCTGCGCAAGAAAGAGGACTACATACCCATCAAGTGTGAGGGCTGGAACGGAAAGTTCGAGTATCCGGATGGAGCCGTCAACAATGTGTCCAAGATCCGTCGCCAGAACCAGAACGTGACCAATACCAATAACTTCTACGGCTTCAGCACGGAGCCCATTGTCCTGCCCACCGAATGGGACGGAACTTTTGTGAAGAGCGGCGAGACCCGTATCAAACAGGAGCGCAATCGCTCCGATGATCAGGATTACTTCGACTTCGACACGTCCCCCACTGTTCTGCCGCCGACTTGGAGCGGCGAGTTCGTCACCGATCCCACGGATGTCCGCATTAAGCCGGAACGGAACTTCTCCGATGCCAGGGATTATGCGGAGGCCGCTCGCTTCAAGTTGGTCCAGCACTGAGTGAGATTCAATTCGATCTGATTCATTTCGATCTGATTCGATCCTTCCCTTTCAATCAAACTAATCCTGCAAATTTTGTGTTTGTTTTGGTTTCGCATTGTACCCTAACCTAAGCGTTTGTTGTATTTTACTTCTTATGATATTTATTCGTATACTTAATAAATAATAGCAAAAAAAAAAAAAAACAAAAACCGAATTGCTAGAAAGTTCCGTTGTGCAATCGCCTTGGCTCGATCCGCGTGGGCGAATATGTCGATATTCAGTGACCTTTTATGGATAATAATTCGATCGGGTTTGCAAATTCAATTTATATTTATATTATTTGCTGAGAGCAACAACAACGCCGAGGTTGCCTTGTTTGAGGTGTACAAGAAAACAGCGTTGAGATTACAAATCAAACCGATGCATCAGCAGCTGATAATATTTACACCCATTATGATTCAACCTTGTGAACCCCTTCAGGAATTCCAATTGATTAAAAGTGCTAGAGTTATTTGTAAACTTTTAATACAAAAATATTTGCTTTGTTTTTTTAATTACTTACAGTGTTCTTTATTATGTAAACCCCATTTTCTAAGGTAAACAAATTCAAGTCTTCAGAAATATTCCTTCAATTTCGTTTATGTTGAAAAAGAGTACTGTAAAAATCTTATCATATTTACGAACTGACATTTAGTTTTTGTGAATCCCATTTTAAACAAAATTCTATTATTTACCCAACGCTAAAGTTGTTTAGAGCTTTTGCGAATTTAATTATTTTTCAGCCTTCCGCAAATACAAAGCGAAGATAAGAGGATATTCTAAGAAATTCTTGCGATTCGCAAGGCAGCCAAACCTTTTGCAAGCAATGGTTAATTTAAAAATTATATATAAGGCAATAAAGTATATAGAGTGAGATTTCAAAGCTGGCAAAAGTACAATTAATTATGGGGTCGCAGCTGGGGAAGTACAATGATAAGAGTACGCGTAGAATGTCTATATAAACAGAGGTTCGACAATTCATAGCTTCACAGTGAAAATGCAGAGCTTACTACAAGTAGCAATCAGTCTGGCTCTTTTGAGCTTGTCGGCCGGTCAGGCGACGAGCTCCTTCGAATCCATGGACCTCTATTTACTCCAAAACCAGCGGCAGTACGACGCGAAGCTTAAACAGTTGGAAGATGAGATGGCCAACTTTAAGAACCTGTTTGCCTCGCGAATTCAGGCCCTCAATGTCCAGGCGGATTCGATGCAGTTGAAGCTGGAGGAGGCCACCGCTCGCCTGGATCCCATCACTCTGATCGATTCGTGGAGCAAACAGTGCGTTCAGAACTATACCAACACCATCCCAACGATCGCCGTCGCCAGAGCCTCAATCACCAAGTGTGCGGAAAACATTAATGGGGTTTTGAATAACCCCGAGAGTGCTTACAACTCCCTCAATAGTTACTATAAAAATAATTTGAAGAACGGCCTGGCGCAGTGTGTGAAGCTCCATCCAAACGCTCATTTGAATTACACACTCTGTGTGACCAAAGTGGTGAGTAGACTGCTAAAATATTCGTATAACCAACGATTTTAACCAATTTGTATAATTTTAAGATTGGTGATACCAACAAGTACACGGTGACGAGCCAAAACAACTTCAATAACTACCTTAAAAGTTCCGAATGCACAGCCGAAAGTCGCGTCCGTAGTTCCTGGCAGTGCGCCTTTGGACAGGTCTACTCAATAACCTCCACCGTGGAAGTCGCCATGCGACTCGTGGACATGTGCCTTGAAAATCGCGTGGTGTGCGGAGAGCTAGCTCTTAATACGCCATCGTGTCCGAATGTTGCCAACGTAACTTTGGCGGACATCAATCCCCGCAATGCAACCATCTCCAACCCATTTAGGTCTGTGACCAATAGCATGAACTGTCTGACGTTCAGGATCACTGGTTAGATCCGCTACACTATCCTATATCTCAACACAATGTTTAAAGCATAAGAGGTCTTAAACTAGATAAATTTTCTAATGTGTTTGTAACCTTTACTTGTGAATTTGTATCAGTCTATATTAAATTATATTAGTTCAGCAAACAAGACTACTGGTGTTAAATTACTTGCTCGAGTATTATCTCTTATATAAAAATGTATAAACATTGCCAAAAAATTAAAAGAGATATTTTGTAGAAACAAGCAAAAGCAAAATTGAATACATAAAAACAAACAAAAACTTATTATACTTGCTGTTTATATAGCATAAAATAATTCAGTTTGGGGCTTGCCAAAACGACAGCTGAAAAAACATTATCAGTTTGTATACCACAATTGTTTAGAAAGACTATAAAACGAATTTCGATTACCAACTGCTCCACTGTGCTTAAAAATGATTAAGTTGAATGTGATGACTAGTTTTACAGCTTCGTTGTTGGTAGAAGATTAAAATTGAACCCAGATCAAGGCCACATTTCGTAGGGGTCCAGAAATCACATTAAATTTGTTTGATTCTAATTGATGGGATGATTATTATGATCGCAACGACGCTGATGTTCTTTCTCTTTTGGAACAACTTTTTTAACGGGAGCACAGAACCATTCACAGTAGCTCCTATTAACCCACGCAAAATGAGATGACAAACCGGGTTTCAATCTTTTTCAGGTACCCGCACGAACCATTTCTGGAATTTAAAGCCACTCAAAGGGACCGCTTCACCATCCCAAGCCTTAGAATTTATTCCCCGAATTGGGAATCACATAAAACCAGTGATCGTCGCATTGTGTGTTGGTTTTCATTATAGCATTTTCTATTCCCGCATTCCATTATCTGGATGGCAGATGCGTGAGAACAAAGATCGGCACAGGCTAAAGAAAATTTTGGTTTTCTTGACACGGGCTGACCGTGTGAAATATTCAAGATGCTTGGGAAACCTCTGAAAATTTGTAATAGGCTGGCAGAAAATTGTGTATGTGAGCCTGGAAAATGTGCGGAAAATGGGCACGAGCAGGTAGTCAACACATGTCGGTCTTTGGGAAAATGCCTGAGAATTTTGGGTGCGTGATCCTTTGTTTGCTGGAAATTTGGGATGCTTTATGGGAAAATTGTTTTTTGAGATGCAACTTTTTCGACCCGTGTGAACATTTTCAAATATTTTTCTAATTTGTTGAAATTCTGAACAGGGAATCAGGAAAGGAAACAAGGCACTAAAGGAAAAGAAGAATTTTTGGAAAATGCAGCAAGGACCTGTTGCCTAAAAAGCAAAGGATTCAATCCCTAATCCTTATTCTTCTGTCCATTATGTTACCTTTTCTAATTTATTGAAAGACTGAAAGAATCATGAAACAGGCTCTCAGCAATTTTACTAGCTAATGTAGAAGACAGTCTAACAATTCTACCTGCTGGCTGCATTGTAAGGTGCAGCTGAAATCTTTTCAAAGAAACGACCTCCCACATAAAAAAGAACCTTAAAAAACGGTGCCCTATGAATTTGATCTTGCAGCTGGAGCAGCTGTGGGAAAATGCATTCTTCAAATCTGTCCCGATCGTGTGAATTTTCCAAAATAGTTCTCAAAACGGAAAATTCTTCTACCAGGCTAACAGTAAAAATTGTAAGAAGTTCAGTGAGATTTCCCAAAATAGTCTCTACCTGTTGGTTGGGTCTGGAAAAAAATTGGGAAAATGAAGCGGAAAATTCAGCACGGTACAAAACATGTGCCCTTTTCCAGGAAACCTGTTGATTGTAAAGAGGAACCTCCTTTTTTTTGTTAAAAAACGGTCCTTTCAATAACTAAGAGTGCAGCCGCTGCAGCTGTGGGAACGTTTCCATCTGCCCAGGATCCTTTGACCATTTTCCGACCGTGTGAATTTTCCAAACCAGATGTTCCTAATGTAAACATTAGAACCAGGCCAACAGCATAGTTGGTAGCACGAGTCACAAAGTTTTTCCGGATAGATATGCATTTATACCTGCTAAAGGGTCCTGGGAACGAGCAGCTGCACCGAATCCCACGACGATGCCACTTTTCCAGCAACCTGTTGCATAGAAAAAGAACACAAATACATGTTGGGTACCGTTCTTATGCAGCCAGCGCAGATGTGGGAAAATTCATTAGCCGGTCGTGTGAAAATTACAGCTCAATTAACGAAAATCAATACTCCAATACCAGGCGAACATCGTAAGCAGCAGCTCACTCTAAATAGTTTTCCCAAATGGATGTTTTCCGATCTCGAGTCCTGGGAAAATGCAGATGGCTGCGAGCACACGATAATGTTGAACTGAAACTGAAACATGTTGCATGGGAATAAGACAAAAAAACATCTGCGATCGTGTGAAAACTACAGCTTCATCGAGTAAAATCGATTTTCATGCAACAGGCGAGCATCATAAACAGCGGCACACTTAAAATAATTTTCCGAAAGGAATGTTACCTGCTTTCGAGTCCTGGGAAAATGCAGTTGGCTAAGGGCACACGATATTACTCTCCTGCAACCTGTTGCATGGGAAAATAAATTGAAAGGATTTTTTATTTCCTATACAGAGCTGTGGGAAAATTTAAATTGAGTGCCCTTTTTTTTAAAACTTCTCAGGAAGAAGAAAACTTATTTTCCGATCGTGTGAAAATTACAGCTTAATTGAGTAAAATCGAATTTCATCTAACAGGCGCCCATCAAAAACAGCAGCAGTTTCTACATAATTTTCCCAAAGGAATGTTACCTACTTTTGAGTCCTGGGAAAATGCATATACTTCAGCGCACACGATGATTCTCTTTCTGTGACCTGTTGCATGGGAACATCAATTAAATGCATTTTGTATATCCCATACGCACAGGGTAAGTGTGGGAAAAACGACTGCCGATCGTGTGAAAATTAAAACTAATCAAGAAAACTCAACACTCATGTACCAAGCGAACATGAAAAGAGCAGAACACCAAAAATAGTTTTTCAAATGGAATCCTACCTGGTCTCGAGTCCTGGGAAAATTAATTGGAATACGATACAACTTTTTGATTTTTCAAAAGGAACCTTTCTACCTTTTCAAAAAGATTCTATGGGATCGATATCTTCGAGTCGTGCGATAATGCGGTCTGCAATAACGGTATTCATTTGTTCGCTAATCAATTAAGGAACTTTATCTTAATACTTGCGGAAAACCAAAACAAGAACATCACAATTTGTATGGGATCTAAAATAATTTCCTTCCAGTTAATATTTTACACATAACAAATACGTTAAAGTATATTAAATTTAAGTACAATGCAAATATTTGTATAAAATACTAAATATTGTAAAAAACCCGCAAAATAATTCAGTGATAGTTTCCAACCTCAATAAAAAATCTATCAGGATAACAGAAACTTTTCTTAAAGATTCTACCTGAACAAGAAAAACGCTACCAGTTCTTAAAAAAGGACATGGAAGAATTCGTACTACATTTCATGGGAAAGTCAAAGATGAGTAGTCATCGTGGGAAACCACCTCAAGTGGTTGTTTAAACAAACAATTTTCTACTAGGATAACAGCAAAATTAACAAATCTACCTAGATGCAATTAAATCTCAGTACCACAATGCTTAGAAACCAACCGCATCGCATATGCCATCGAAAGATCACCTGCAGGATTACAGAGCCAGCATTATTTTTTTTAGAAAACGTTGACGGGAAATTACCTTTGTTAACACTTCAATTTCCTTGAAAAGGAAACTATGCGTCTTGAGTGTCGAAAGATTTTACCTGAGTAAGAAAAGAGCAACAAGTATTAAAAAAGGTCATGGGAAAATTAACTACAAATTCCCTACCTCGTGGGAAAGATCCACAAGTGGTGGTTGAAACTTTGAATTTTCTAACAGGATCACAGAAAAACCGCCAAGTGCCCTGACACGCTTTCCAATCGTTAACATTGAATCCAAGTACATGGCATATGCCATTGAATAGTCACCTGCAGGATATCGGAAGCAGGATAATATCTTTTGGGAACGCTTGTTAACAACCGGAAATGACCTTTGTTACCACGTGAAAATAGAGTCCTCCTCATAACATAAAAAAAATTAAGAAGAGATTTTGGGAAATCCTTAAAAAGCACGTTCTATAGAGGAAAGATTTTCATGGGAAGATTGGATGTTGTGGGAAGCAGCTTCGAATAATGTTTAAACTGGGAATTATCTAACAGAAAATCAGAAATGCTGGGAAGTACCCCAAAACGTTTCCCAGTCCTTATTTCAAATTAACGTATCCATATCGCATGTGCCACCAAAAGAACACCTGCAGGATTACGGATGCAGCATAGATTCCTTCGGAAACGGAAATACACAACAGGAAGTGTCTTTTGTTACCACTTGAAAATACATTTCCTTTGGACAGGAAATCGATTCCTAATCAACCGTTTGTGTTTCCTGTCTCAGCTTCCGTTTCTTAAAAAAATAAACATCGTTTTTTTACAACGGTTTTTTGGGACTGTTTTTTTGTGTTTACTTTTTCCAGGAACTCCACATGCCACATGCCACATACTGAGATTTTTTGGGCTAGGCGTGAGAACGAATTTGGCTTAATTGGACAGATTCTACTAGGCACTCAGCATCCTTAAGGCAATAAACCGATTTCAACATTCCGTCGGTCACATGATACACGAAACCTTATGATATCTTTGATCTTTTTATGGATTCCTTTGATCTTTTTATGGATTCCTTTGAACTTTATTATGTTCTCAAGTCCCTGAAGGCGTGAGAATGCGGTCTATATATGGAACACTAATTAGTTTTTGGTATCAGGCAAGCAGCGCCAACAGTTGGGTAAGATACTTCCAGAGAGTCCTTATTATTCCAATGGATTTTATATGCAAATTGGATTAATCCGACTTCGCTTCAATTAAAATAGCTAACAGGCACACAGTTTGTCCAACAAGCAGCTCTCACCTTTCCAGGATTACCTGGCTTCCTACCTGTGAGGTGTATAATAAGATGGTGCCAAACTACCACCAAACTATTGAGTTACAAGGAGGTCTTCTCTTTCCAGTCCTAAGACGTTTGCAACCCTCGTGATTCGGGCTATCTTCAAAATATGTCTTGGCCTTACCAGGAAAACAGCAATCACAGGAGTAGAGAAGATTA